GCATGGGATCATTAACATCTGGATCTTGCTCTTTTTCAAGAATCCCACTTATCTTGCATAGTCCATCCTGAGGTTTTATAGTATTTGGTAATAGGTTGTTCAAATTCACGTCGGAAGCTTCACTATCAGAATCATTGTTTATATTATAACTTTGCAACAGCCTGCCATATTCATTAATTGTTTTGGGTTTGTAGGTAGGGTCGACATCACTATCGTCTCCACTAAAGTTTGTAAATTCATTATTTTTATAACTAAAAATTAAAGATTTAAAAAGTGAGGTAAAGGTATTTACTTTGCTTTTTATTTAGATCCAAATCTCGACATTATTGATAAACTACACAAATTAACAATAAATATTAAGCAATAATTGTTTCTCACCTTATATTTTCTTCCATTTTTATGCAAAATCACTATTTTATTCAGCAGAAACACACAATTTTGTAAACGTCACAAGTGACAACGTACTGACAACTTGGTGTTAATTTGTTCTATCTGCAAAAATGCTGTAAATCTATTGGCTGATCAGATAGAATACTATAACACCAAAAATAAGCTAGTATATATAGATGGAACATTATAACACTGTTCGTAATATCCTTAAACTGTACAATTTCTACCTTAATTATTTATAGATAGCCCTATATGCATCTTTAAGACTTAAAACAAGTCTAACCTTAATTTTAAAAAAAATGCAGATAGAACACTATAATTCTCAGGTGACGATATATCAAGGTGAACCAAAAACAAAACTGTTAAAAATAGATCTGACTTGATAATTAAGACTTAATTTAGAACAATATACGGTTTTGCCACTCTACAGAGTGTCTTAAACTTATGGTAAAAAACATCTTTTTGTTTAAACCTGTATATATACAGGTTTAAACAAAAAGATGTTTTTTACCATAAGTTTAAGACACTCTGTAGAGTGGCAAAACCGTATATTGTTCTAAATTAAGTCTTAATTATCAAGTCAGATCTATTTTTAACAGTTTAACAGTTTAACAGTTAATATATTATAAACGTAGGTACGTGTATTTTTTAGTAATTTTTAAAATGTGAGCTATTCTCCATTAATGTATCTACAATATTTTTTAATATTTGTTTTAATAAGAAATCAAATAAAAAAGTTATTTGCCATTGAAATTCAGCAAAAATTTGTGTGGATCGATTATTTTGCCTCTGAGTGTATAATCGTAGAGAAGTGTAGAAATAATTTCTTGCAGTAAAATTGAATTAGACGGCATGCGTTAAATATAATAAGTTAATATTAAAGACATTTCATCAGTGGCGGACTAAGGGGGGCGGTCCGCCCTGGGCCTCCGCTCCAGTTAAAAGGGCCCCCAAATCTTAAGTAGTCTTTCTCAGTCCAACAAAAAACTATCTAAAAATTAGGGTTTTAAACTTTCCGGAAAAATTGAGCCAGCGAAAAAAACGGTTTTTTTTCGTGAAAAAGATTGGGAAATTTTCAGAAAAATTGATTGTATTTTTTTCATTTTATTCAAAGAGTTATACCTACGAAAAAATGCAAAAGTCTATTTTTCTAAAAATTTACAAATTTTTACAGATATGTTAGTAGGGTGTGTCATTTTTAAGCAACTTTTTTTTTTCATCTAAAAAACTGGCTTAAAACTTTCAGGAAGGTGAAAAAAGAGACCTCTAAAAATTTGAGCTCTTAATATTAACATTAAGTGGTGCCTGTTCCTAACTTTCCATTTTCCATTTAAATAAAATGGAAAAAAAATTATTTTTTCTTATTTTTGTAGCTTGACATTTGAGCATTGTAAAAACGAACTGAAAAAATATTTTGGTAGGAAATTGAACGCTAAAAATTCAATACAATAACAAATTCATTGTTTTATTTAATCTATTATTATAATAATTGAACAAATTTATTGAACACAAATAACTTTTGTTGATAGTAAATAAAATAAAATGGAAAAAAATGAGATGTAAGTGTTATTTTCTTTCTATACAAAAATAGTAGATTATGTTATAAGGAGTAGAAGTGACTCTTTTTGTGGTGAGTACATAGATTGACGGCCGAAGCGTAGCTGAGGCAGGCAACTGTACGAAGCACAGAAAGAGCTTCTACTCCAAATAACATATACAATTTTTTTTTCAAGGGCATAATATAAATAGGATAAGCAATAGAATTATTTTATTTACTCATAACTCGTGTGGGATAAAATTTTGGCTAAAAGCATTAGAAATTATTGATAAAAACTAAAAAAACTAATAAACCTTACTTACAATGCCGATAAATATCCGAAACTAAAACTAAACACTGCTCTGTCAAAATGCTGCGCTTGAATTAATTTTGACGTACTGACATTTGTTTGAAGTTTCGACATTGGCGACTCGTCTATCATCCTAATATTATACTAATAAACTATTTTTTCTTTATTTCGTTCAATTAAAATTTAATAAATAATCACTAAATATTCCGTGCGATTATAATTAATATAATTAATACATCGTGATTGCTTTGTATGAAATGCTAAATTAATTTTATTATTTGACGTTTATTGAGTCACCTATGGATTTACTTCTATCCCTAGGCTTTTTTGAGTTTTTTGTCTGCCGCTAATGAAAAAGACGCACTTCAACTATCTCTATACATGCATATAAGGTTGTATATCATGGCCGCTTGAAAAAAATAATTATTTTTTCTTAAAATAATTTTTAAGACATAAAAAAGTATTATTTTAATAAAATCATAATTTCATACATTTGCTAGTTTGAATACCTTCAGAACGGCTTACTCTATGAAAAAATAAATTAGTACTTTTTTGTAGAGCGTTCAATTTCCTACCAAAATAATTTTTCAGTTCGTTTTTACAATGCTTAAATGTCAAGATACAAAAATAAGAAAAAAGAAATTTTTTTTCCATGTTATGGAAAATGGAAAGTTAGGAACAGGCACCACTTAATGTTATTATTAAGAGCTTAAATTTTTATAGGCTTATTTTTTCACCTTTCTGAAAGTTTTTAGCCTGTTTTTTAGTTAAAAAAAAAGTTGCTCAAAAATGACACACCCTAGTAGGTAGGTACTATCCGTACACTCAAATCGAGAAAAAAGTAAATTTCGACGCTGAATATATAATTTTCTTAAATCAATTTAATTTAATTCAATGTTAAGTTTTATTTTTTTTAAATTAAATTAATGTTGTAAAGTTGTTGATTGTTACTTTTTTCAAATGTATATATTTAAAAAAAAAAAAAATAATTTCCCCAAAAAAGTCATTTTTTTAAGGCCTGGTTTTTCCCCAATTTTTTCGGTTTTTTCCCCAATTTTTTCGGTTTTTTTCTCAATTTTTTCGGTTTTTTTTCGACACTTTAAAACCCTAGTATTATACTAGTAGTATAGTCTCGGGAGCCCCTAGCTGCAATCCATCAGGAATTAGAAAAAAAGGTTATAATTACATTAAATTAATCTTTGAGTGGGCTCCTTGATTTTTAAAATTTAAATTATTAAGAAGTTCAAATATAAGTATACTTATAAGTTCGCTGGAAAAAGCTTGTAATCAATTTTCATATCCCTGATTACAAAGGACTTGCTAAGAGGATCTACTAACAAATTTAAAATAACAAAACATTAATATTTACAAAACAATCACATTATTTCATAAGTAAGGCCCGGATTTTAGGTAAAACACCTTTTGTTGGTTTTTTACGTTTTAAAGATATTTTTTTGTATTTGCCCGTTTTATAAAAAATGGAGTCATCTGACTAAGTTTTATTTGACCTAAAATACCTTTTTTATATTTTTTTCACCTATTTTCCTTTTTTGCACCTAAATTGTATTTTTAACACCTAAAATGAACTTTTTTTACCCGTCCTGTGACGTTGAATGATCATTTTCTTGGTTTAAAAATGTTTGACTGATAAACGCACTAGCTTTACTTCTGAAAACTTGGAGAAATATTTTGTCTGTCATGCATATAATCGATGAATAAATTAATAAAATTTATTTTTTTTTGATTTTAGAGTTCCTATTTTGTTTTTTTTTGTAATTTTAGAGTTCCTATTATGTTTTTTTTGCTATTTTACATTATTTGTGATATGATATATTTACTTTTTTAAAGAATCTTTTATTTTATTTGTTATTTTTCCAACCAAACATTTTTGTTCAGTTAATGTTAATAATAAATATTATTTTAATAACTATTTCATTTTTAATTTAAATCCTTTATTGCCGGACATTAACAGAGCAATTATAATGTAACTAAAATTACATAAGACCTATGTATGGTTTTACAACGATATCGACATTATAATGGAAACATTTTATTTCAATAAATCAGCTTTTTTTTTTTATTTAAGTACCTAAAATGTAGGCACCTAAAATAATAACCTAATTTTATAAATGTGACCTATTTTTTGCATTTTTTTTTTTACTTTTTTATAACCTAAAAATACGGGCCAACCAATATTAACTTTTTAATTAAGTACCTAAAATATAGGTACCTAAAATAATAACCTATTTTATTAAAAATATCACCTAATTTAGGAACCTTTTATCACTTTTTTATGACCTAAAAATCCGGGCCTTATTCATAAGCAGACTATAGTCCTATAGGGGCCCCATTTTATTTTACCGCCCCGGGCCCCCGACGGGTTTGGTCCGCCACTGCATTTCATTAAGTAAATTGCACAAAAACTTCATATTTAAGTTTTTTTAGAGCTAGAGACATGTTTTCTCCCATTACTGAATTTTGTCCCTTTTACAGAACTCGTCCATCTAAAATCATTTTTTAACATCTTCTTTTTCTTTTGTTTTTTGAAATTTATGATAGATCTATACAATATATTAAATCAAAACCTAACTAAACTAATAAACAAGCATGAGAAAAAATACTTGGTAATGTATTATAACCTTAACTAGGGTGTGTAGTATAAAAACTTTCTGCAGAAACCATGGTTAAAAAATTTTCTAGATTTGAGTAATTGTTGTAGCCCTTTAAATAAAACTAAACACTTTTTTAAATTGTTTTTAATTTTCCATAACAATTATTTTTATATATTATATTTTTTCATTAAATTGATCATTGGTAAATATACCAATTTAATAACATCAAGGTGAATAAGAAAGTCAAAATGAGTAAATTCCTTGAGGGGTACTTTATAATTAATTACATTTGGGAGATTTTTCCCCAAAACACGAACTGCCTAAAAAATACAAACTGGGTGAATCTATGTGAGAATTATTTTTTTGCAGATAAGATATAACATAAGGGTGCTTTGTTTGAAACGCCTGTTTATTTTTTTCACTCCCGCCTCAAATTTTGTTGGAAAAGTAAAAAAAAAATCCCTATAAGTTTGAGCTCTTAATATTAAGTTCCCATTTAAAATTAACGTACCTACAGTGTACGTCATACACAATCTACAAAAGTGTCCATTGCAACTGTAACTTATTTTTGTATAAAATTCTTGTTTCTTTGCTGTAATTTCTTAATGACTTGCAGAAAAAAGGTAAGTGACAAATATATGTGAAATTGTTCTTTGAAACGAATCTCTAAGATTAATATTTCTCAATGTTTGACCTATTTGTGATTGAACCTTAGGTACAGAAAATTCGTAAAAATTGCATATCGCAATGATGGTTTTATATTACAAAGTGTAACGACATGATCAGCTTTTCTGGAAATTCATGCTCAAACTATTAATTTGTCCAGTAAATCCGTCGTTTGATCATATTTGAAAGGCATAAAACCAAATTTGCAAAACCTGACAATTTTTTTTTGCAAAGGGCATTGTAACACTAACACTGCGTTTTTTCATGACTATTCCACTTATTACTTTTTGGACCAATCAGATTTCAGAAAACGAGTGGTTTTTTCAGTTTTGCAGCGATAAAACTACTATTCAGGTGAAAAAAACCACTCGTTTATACGAGTTGCATAGCAACCAATTGGTTGCTATGATAAAAATAATTGTCACTGTTGACGTTTTTAATTTTAAAATTAAAATGTTAAAAAATATGCGTTTTGGTCCAAAAAATCATACAGAAATTGAATCAGCAGTTAAAAATATTCGTGAAATAGTCTTGCCGAATACCACTCGTGATAAAATTTTCCCTGAAAAAATTTTTGATTTTTATTTACTCAAGATTTTTCCTTGGAAATTTCGCTCGTGGCATTAACTTCAAACCACTCGCCTAGCGGCTCGTGGTCTTAAAAATTAATGCCACTTGCGAAATTTCCAAGAAAAAAACATTCGTATAAAAATAAAAATTTTATCGGTAAAATTTTACCACTAGTGGTATTATATACGATAATAAAGTGTTTGTTCATATATATCAAGATACGTTAATATACAAAATTAGTATAAAAAATTAGTTATTTAACTTAAACAAAATGTTTATAAAAAGTTGTATAAAAAACGTTTTATAACGTCATTAATCGCGTAACGGGCGCGGCCTTAGAAAATCTGCAAATGCGACCAAGTTGGCTTCTAAAGTTGATACTATAAAATTTTGGATGAAAGAATATAGTAATAATTTTTTGTGTAAAACTTGAATGGTAACCTTAAACAAGCACTTTAATTTATATTCTAAAATTTTCTCAAAATCACATTTGAACATTTTATCGAGTATTGGAACGGTTCTATGTTTATTCTTAATTTTAGCTTCTTAGCATCACAATGTACGAATATTTTAAGGTTATAAATTTCGTGGCAATTAAACTATTTGACTTCAGATATAGTTTTTATTTTGTTTATTAACACATCTTATTTTGTGTCAGTCAGGTTCCAGCACTTGAGAAGGCACCACGCGAGAGCGAGAGCTCTTAAAACGTAAAAGTTTAAAGATTAAAACCAACAATAATTTTTAAAATGTGCAAACCAATTATAGTTGACAACAATTTACATAGAGAGCAAATGGTGCAACGGTCAATGAGGAGTGATGTGTTAAGTGATGAATGAGTTAAGTGCCACCTGTCATTGGACGCTTTTCACTGGACAAACAAAGGAGGTCAAACAAGAGGGGAGGTGGCCATCCGGAAAAAATTATAAGTAACTTTAAGCATATGCATGACCTAACACATAATCTGCAAATTAAACACGACAGTATCTTTAAAACCCTAAGAAAGGCACACTGCGTAGGAAAATAAATCTGTCAACAACAAATGCGTAAATCAAACCAAAACGAGACCAATAATACACACTAGACACACAGAATAAATCATTATAACCCTAACATAGTAAAAAAAGCATAATAACCAAACTCTACTGGATTTGTAAACATTAGATAGCAGAATAATTGCTTGTCATTTGTTTAACTAATAAATAAATGCAATACTTAATTTTGGAATTTAAGAAAAAAGACAAAACTCTACGACAAAACGTGCTTGGGCAACACAATAACTAAAAAAAATTTCGTACTACTGCAGCAATAAACAATTAAAAAAGAAAACACCAAAGGCTACAAGTTACATATCTAGCTACTAAACTTTCTATTGATGGTTTTCGGCATCAAGACATCATGACAATAATGAACAAGACGAAGACCTCGACTAGGAAACTACACCCCTGCAGCGAAATAACAACTCCCCAACTCCAAATAGTAATCCCAAATGTTTGGAGTAATACTAATCGACTGGTCTAGGGGGAACGCAATGGACATTCGCACCCAGCAAACACAGTTGAAGCCGTGCAGTTGCTGGGGGCGAACAAAAATCGGCGTACGTAAACATAGGCCTGTACGGGGTCCGGGAGTGATGAGGCAATGGGGCTGGTTATACGTCTCTTATACTCTTACTCATACAACAAATACCCAAAGATATGCGCAAAAATACATTTGTCAGTTTTTAGTTAGATTTGGCCCCCATAAACTGCACCATAAAAAGTAAAAAATCATATTATTTTTCATATAATTTTTGTCTAAAGTGTTTTTTGTTTATACAAGTCAGTCACGTACTAATACTCACAGCAAGACGTCTCGCTTAGCGACCTCTTAAAACATAAAAGCTTAAAACCCACAAATAATTACTAAAGTGCAAATAAAATATAGTGTAACATCTATAGTGAGTAGAGAGTCTACTAGAGACTACCCTATGCTCAAGAAAGTGTGAAGTGATAAGTGTCAGCTTTAGGGTAGTCTTACCACCTGTCAATTGGACGATTTTCACGAGACAAACAATATAGCGTCAACAGGTTAATACATTTTTATTGCGCTTTATGAAGAAGAAAGTAACAGAACATATCTAGATTTTTTTGGGATATACCTGTTCTCGTGGACGAATCGTGAAAGTCAAATTCGATCTCGCTAGTCTGAACACCATTTTTTTTTTAACATTTCATCCGGTGCAGGTATGTGTAGATTCAGAATAGGGAGGCTAAAGCTTAAGCCAATGATGACCTCTAAAGCAGAAAAAACGAAACCATCACCACATGTCAACATCATTTCGTGCGGATTAAAATGTTTCGCAGTTTGGAAATTTTCTATCAAAAAATATGTTTAAACTTTAGATAGATTGCACTTGTCTTCCACCAAAAGGATCACAATCAAACGATCTTAAACATGAAGAATTAAATATATTTTGAGGTGGATTAGACCTACAGGAAATACAGCAATAAAAAAAACTAACATGAGACTCTTCCTCTAAAGTAGTAAGAAAAAACGTTTTTATGGGTGTACGAGCGCGGCCATGTTCACTCGAGGCAAAACCTCAAAAATTGACATTATTTTCAGGTAAATTTTGAGTTAGATGGGTGGATAATACCTGTCTCCATCCTGTATTGAAAAAAAATTATATAAAATACGTACATTTTGTCTTGTACATCAGTTTAAACTTGACGCTTTCAGTTGAAGGTACTTTACACGCGATCGCTGCGGAAAATTGTTTATTGTTTAAAAGTGAATAACTTGTGTTTGGTGTGTCCGATTGTTATGCGGTTTGTTGAAGGGTGATCTTCAAGGTATCTAAAATTCAGATATGTATTTGTTTTTCGTAGATTTTGCTTGTACAACGGGTTATAGTAACCGACAAGATCGGTCTGTTAAAATCGCAAACTTTGAATCGAGCTTTTAGAACAATGGAGCTACAAAAATTGTAATGAATTGTAAGGCATCTGTTTAAGATCCGTTTTAGAGTTTTGTCTATCAAGCCATCAATAAATTATCTGCCCCAACTTGCCCCCGGCTCTTTGAAACTACATGTTCTTGGGCGCTCAGGCACGGTTGTGGTAAAAAACCTCGCGATTTTATGCCTATGTCGAGCGCGTATCTGTGTTTTTGCTTTACAAAATATAGGATTTTTTTTATTTCTGGGTTGCGTTTATGACGTTTACTCGATTCACTCGGAATTAACTCAAAACGTTTATTACAACAGCGGTGTCTAGACTTTCCCTTGCGTAAATCTTTCGTGACTACTAAGATATTTAACACCGATTTTACATATTTAACCAACCTCTTGTAGGTGCGTTAAAACAACTCCGCATGCGCATTGTTGTGTGTTAATGTCAAATTTGAATTGTGGTTATTTGTGTTGACAATTTTTTTTAGCGAATTAAGAAATCGTTGCTAAAATATAAAGTAAAAGAAATAATACAAATTTAAAATACTTAGTATAAAATCTGTTATATTTAAATTTTATAAATAAAAGTTTCTCGGGAAAAAACGATGGAAGACGTTTTCCATTGGCTTATGGCATCTTCCGATCCGTATATTTCTAGCTTCAGAAAAATTGCTCCGAAAAAGAGCAAATCTTTGTCCCGCTAAGCAATAAAACTGTTGCTATCTTCTGAATTGTTTCCCATGCTCTGCTAATGATACAACAAGCAAATCCAGTGACGGAGATTGTTTAATATATATGTAGGTATTAAATAATATCATATAAATTTAATTATAATAAACTAAATTAAGCTATTTTATAAAAAGATGTTTTATTACATTTTAAAAAGAACCTCTTACGGGTTTTTAATTAATTTAGACAATATTTGATAAAAATGTCCGCCCTTTGACGTCCACCATTTTGAATTTTGGAATTCTGATTTCAGCGACTACAAAAACCCCTGTATGGTGATTTTCAATTAATTCCGTCAATTTTTTTACAAATATGACCGCCATTTTGGATCTACCATTTTGAATTTTGGAATTCTGATTCCAGATTCGTTATCAGCGACCCCAAAAACCCTGTATGGTGATATTCAATTAATTCCGTCAATTTTTTGATAAATATGTCCGCCATTTTGGATATACCATTTTGAATTTTGGAATTCTGATTCCAGATTCGTTATCAGCGACCCCAAAAACCTCTTTAAACAGATTTTTAGGAGAATCCGACTACTCCTTGATATTTTGCCGAAAGTTTCGAGAATTGAAACACTGTGCGGCTCCCAGCTCTATTTTTTTGAAATTGTAGAATATTAAAAGAGCTACAAAATGTTAATCATAATAATTTATCATAAAATATACTGTATGCCAAATATTTACAAAAAAGTGAAAAAAAACAAAATATAAAAACAAATTTTTCATTTTAACCAACTAAATTTTTGTACTCATTTGTTTAAACAAAAAATACTTTAGACAAAATTTATTGTAAATTTTACAAAAAATAAATTTGTTTTTTTACTTTTTATTCTGCAATATACGGTGGCAGAGATATTCGCTAAAAACTAAAAAAATGTATTTTTGGGTATATCTTTGTAAGAAAAAATGGTCAGGTGGTGCAAATTTGGTTTTCAAATAAGTAAAAAAGGATTCATGAAAAAAACTATGCCTCGGCACGCCATTTTTCACCACGGTTTGACGGGACTAATTTAATTTTCATGACAAATTACCGGTACTTTGCTGTTTTGACAAAATGACAAGTACATACAGTGCTTATTATGCAGCAATAGACAAATTAAATCTTTGTTGTAAATTATCCCTTGATATTGACATTTCCTTATACCTCCGGTGATGTTATCCAGTCTCCATCTGAGTAGAACAAAGCCGATAGTGCCCTTGAATTTGTTAGGTTAAATTCTGGAGGACGTCTAGAATTATATTTTTTCAGATTTCCTTTCCCTCCATAATCATAGTATCTAAATCCTTTAAAATAAATTCAAATTACTGAAACAATTGTAAATTGTTGTACATTTATTACAAGTATGTTTTCCCTTACGACATAAATGATTTATAAAATATTTAATTGTAAAATTAAAGATTAACTTACCACTTGTTGCTAATTGTATAGATTGCCTAAACTGATAAATTGATAGACCAGAAGGTGTGGTACGCAGTACCCAATGAAAAATTTTCTACAAAATATGTATAATATATATACAGGGTGTTTCTTTTAACTTGAGACAGCTTAATATCTTGAGAAATACGCATTTCTCGGAAAAATGTCTTAAATAAAAGGTTAATTTGACCAAAGGGGACATTATTTGGTGCTACCGCTAGCCACCCCCTACCCCTCCTTAAGGGTGAAACGGGAGGTAACTTTGGAAAGTCAAATGGGATGACCCGATTTTTTTCGCACATTTTGGTAGTACATAGAAAAATGAATAACTTTTAATTGAAACTTTTTTTCAATTTATCAACTGATGGCGCTGTAATTCAAAATTTAAGAAAAATAAGTTTCCTTTTAAAATGTATTATTTGAAACGTTTGAAAAACAAAAATTAACATTAAATCAACAATAGTCGGCTCTGAAAACAATTTATTACAAATGTTCGAAATGTCGTCCTTCCATTTCGACACATTTGATAAACAATCGCTTGATTTTTGTTATGAAATGAAAAATGTTTATTCAAAACGTTTTTTAAAGTTATTATTATTCGGCAATTGGATCGGTAGACGTGGTCCAGTAAGTTGGCCTGTTCGATTACCTGATCTTACGCCACCAGACTTCTTCCTGTGGGGTTACTTGTCAGTTTACGCTGCAATTCCTACAACTCGGGAGGACATGGTGGAGCGGATCAGGAACGCCTGTGCGGCGATACCGCCCGACATGTTAGCGCGTTGTGTGCTAGAATTCAGTACCCGCATTCAAAAATGTGTCGAAATGGAAGGACGACATTTCGAACTTTTGTTATAAATTGTTTTCAGAGCCGACTATAGTTGATTTAATGTTAATTTTTGTTTTTCAAACGTTTCAAATCATACATTTTAAAAGGAAACTTATTTTTCTTAAATTTTGAATTACAGCGCCATCTGTTGATAAATTGAAAAAAAGTTTCAATTAAAAGTTAGATATTCATTTTTTATGAAAGTACTACCAAAATTTATGAAAAAAATCAGGTCATTCCATTTGACTTTCCAAAGTTACCCCCCGTTTCACCCCTAAGGAGGGGTAGGGGGTGGCTAGCACCAAATAATGTCCCCTTTGGTCGCATTAACCTTTTAATTAAAATATTTTTCCGTAAAATGCGTATTTCTCGAGATATTGAGCTGTCTCAAGTTAAAAGAAACACCCTGTATATATATATATATATATATATATACTACCATCCTGATGAAGAAATCGAAAAATTAAAGAAAACGAGTTCATAATAAGCATTTTTAATGTATGGGATTGTTTTACATAAAACGACCGTTTTAGACTAAATCGAATCTGCTCTTTTCATTGGTGCAAATAAAATTAGTAAATTTTCATTGCTTAGACGCGAAACTATGGATACGTTGAATATAGAAACACTAATTTCATTTTAAAAATACCTTATTTGATGCAAAAGAACCTTAAAAATGACAACAACAAACTTAAAGCTCATTCATATCCACTTAATATGCGTAACTTAACTTAACATTAACTTAATACACGCAAAGAACGCAATATACAAGCACGCGCAATGTAGACATGGATGTATACTAGGTTGCCTATCTATCTATAAAAGTAAAACAACAAGATAGCGCTATACCGTTTTACTGGGCATGTGATTGGCTCTATCTATAAAAGTGAAACAACAAGATAGCGCTATATCGTTTTACTGGGCATGTGATTGGCTCACGTAAGAAACGTATTCCCTTAAGTTGAGCCGGACCCAACTTTTGGATACGTTAAGTTACGTGTGATAAGTTTTCTACGAATGTAAACAGCTGCATTGATTTCAATGTATTTCAACTTACGTCTATCACGTACGTTAAGTTAAGTTACGCGTATTAAGTTGATGTGAATGATCTTTTACATCCGAGTGATTGTGCCCTAACCTAGCGGTTCCTTGGATTACATACGAAAAAGAAAACAACAATTGAACTGCCGGAAAGCAGAACCGACGCAGCGCGTGGCCAGTAGGCAAGAGAGGGGATGAACGCGATGCACTGCATGGAGACCGTTCAATTTCAACAAAATTCTTTAAATTAAACTCGCGATAACTCCTTAACTAAACGTGCGATTTTTATGAAATTTGGACAGATATATAAATAATAAATGCATCAATATTATTTAAGTCATAACTACGCTTAAACTTAATGTTTATAAATTATATCGCACATGGGCGACAACAGTGTCATAAGTAGTAAAACCTTAATTCCGAGATAATGACCGTCAAAGATTTTTCAATAATAAAATTCTCACTTATTTTTAAAATTATATTTACTTACAGTATTTTCTTTGCAAATGAAGAACCACACTAAGATTCTGAGCTAGTTAAAAATTAGATTTTAGAAAATACTCTTTTTGGATAAGACCTATTTTTAGATATGTCTGTGTTGCCGAAGAAGGTGTGCATTAATTTTGGAGATATGTTTGTGTTGCTGAAAATATGTGCATGAATTTTGCAGATATGTCTGTATTGCTATAAATGTGTCGATCAATTTTTTATTTATTCATTCTTTTATTGTTGATTATGCATATGAGGAACGTATGACTGGCCCCATCGGTAACGCCTTACACTGATTTCCCAGGGTTATTTTACCCCCTTTAAGTTCTCCTACGTACCCCGCCACACAGCATTGCCTGTGGTTGGTGGATCCGAATTTTAACCCGGAATTTTGTCGCCTGGCCGGGCCATAGGCGCGATTTAGGCTAGTGGAGTGCAGACAAAGCGGAAAAATATTTTGGTTTTTGAGGGACATTAAACTGACCCAAAACTAGTATAATCCGAAGTCCCCCTAAACCAGGTATTGAACTAAAAGAACCTGAATATGGCTTTCCGAGAACACAAATAAACATAAACATATAAACTGAATATCTAAAACAAGTGAGAATGGTTTATGAAATACTTTTATGGGCAACCAATAAATGGCAATCTAGAGGGTTGAAATTTGGTACGAATTTGGTACGAATATTATAACATAATCCCATAAAAAAATTGCCTATTGTGAACCACCCTAATCTATATATATGTAGTCACCGTATCAAATTTGAATTCTGCGTTTGCAACGAATTCAAACATTTCCACACAACGTGCTTCGAATTGTTTCGTACACATTTCTCTAAGGAATGTGCGTATCATATCATTACCAAGCTCCAATATATTTAGTCCCTCTATAATATTCTAAAAAAAAAAGTTAATTTTTGGTATTTGACCTAAATTTTGATTTTTTTTATTAGATTTGTTTTGAACATGAAAAAAGTATGTAAAGTTAAAGATCTAAGTCTAGTCTAGAAAGTTCTCCTTTGGATATTTTGTAGCCTAAAGTTTGCCTAACAAGTTTTCCAAGGGGCGTCAGTATAGTTTCAGAAATACGCCCTTCAAAATACCCCCATGTTAAAAAAAGTGAGTTTGAAGATTTTACTCGTATGCGCCAAAAACCGTTCAAAAAGTAAAAATATTTTATATACGAGCAGACCTCCACTATTCAGGAGACTTTTTTTTATTATTTGTGATTTTTTATACTCTACCATTACCTGTTATATTCCCCATCATAACTCCTCAAGCGGCCTCTTTAATATTACCTCTTTCAATTTAAGTCATGAGTCATTTAGCCTTATTTTTTCAATTATTTGATCACCAAAAATACCAAACATTTGGTTTTTGGATTCGTGTCGGACCAATAGCAGCAATTATGACGATTGACAATGCCTCTGAGAAAAAAGTAACATTCGTCTAAGAAGCAAACATTAAAATGGTAGTTGAAAGTATTTATATTTATTTCACAAAATTGTAAACGGCGGTCATTATCATCTTCATGGAATTCTTGAAGAAGTTGAATTTTATATAGGTGTCATTTATTATGTTTTAGAATTCTCTGTACGGTGGCCCACGAAACTTCCGTTACATCAGAAAGTTTTCTGGTACTTAATTTAGTCCAAAATAATTTCACCCAGAAAAGCTACTTCTATTGCCTCATTTCTCACCGGATTTTCAATATCTCGTTTAATTTGCCACTGAACCAGTTCTAACTAATTTTAGGATGTAACCATGATGTACGTGTCTATTTGCATTAAAAAAAGTTGCCGTTACTCTTGCGCATTAATTGCTTTTAAAACACAATTCAATAATTTCCACTCTCTCCGCAATAGAATTGTTGGATATAAAAACAGTTTATTCAAATTTACCGCGCGAAGTCACTTGACAGAAGGGAGGCGTTTTTTAAGAAGAAGAAGAAGAAAGCAATCAAGAAAATGGCAGATAGACGCTATTTTAATTTTTTTAGTTTTTTAATGTAAATTAGTGAATAAAACCAGTTTGCAATCAAGATATTATTTCAATTAAATACAGTCCACTGGCACAAGGTAACATATGAACGAGAAGAAGGCTCGTACATAAAAGTTGGTCCTTACGAACCGATGAGAACGTGGCAAGTTCTACAACATTACACCGACGATTGTGTACCTGTTGAAGACAACGGAGGCAAGTTCTACAACATTACACCGACGATTGTGTACCTGTTGAAGACAACGGAGGCAAGTTCCACAACATTACACCGACGATTGTGTACCTGTTGAAGACAACGGAGGCAAGTTCTGCAACATTACACCGACGATTGTGTACCTGTTGAAGACAACCAAAGGCAAGTTACACCAACAATTGTGTACCTACCTGAAAAGACAAGTGAGAGTAAGTTAATTCCTTATTACCTACGTATTCCCTGACAAGGACGATTTGGACAAGTTTGGTAAATTTAATGTATAACTATGGCAGAAAATAAAGACCTTACAGCTTTTAAGTACAAAAGGGCTCAAATTAGGAGTAGTTTGACTAGATTTAAAAATTTCGTAGAAAGTTTAGATCAAAATAGTTTGACAGATATTCAGTACAATGAGTTATCTTTTAGGTTAAGTAAATTTGAACCAAGTTATGATGATTTTTCTAGAGTTCAATTGGACATTTCAAGCCTTTTGGAGACTTTAACTTTGTCAACTGAACAAAAAAGTCAGGAGCTTGATGAAAAAGATTTTTTTGATGATTATTTTAAGTTAGTTGCTCAGGCTAGGACAGCTATTAACAAGTACGAGTTGGCTCAGAGTGAGTTCCAACAAAAAGAGTCAAATCATAGTGGCTCACAAAGTAGCGATCACAGATCTCAAGGTCAAAGTGATCATGGTTATGTTTTTCCAAAAAGTAATTTACCTTCGTTAAAGATTCCCACGTTTTCGGGAAATATTGAAAATTGGCTCGAGTTCAAGGATGCATTTCTTGCAATAGTAGACACTAATTATAGCTTACCACCAGTACAAAAGTTTCAATACTTAAAGTCTTCCCTTAAGGGCGAGGCTGCGGAGTTAATTTCTTCATTTTCAATAACTTCAGACAATTATACTGTGGCTTGGTCACTTTTTGAAGAAAGGTACGAAAATAATAGACTTATTATAGACACATATATACAGGCATTGTTGGATGCACCAGTTTTAACAAAGGAATGTTATGTAGACTTACGGAAGTTATTTGACACATTTAATAAAAACATTAGGTCGTACTTAAACAACCCACTGATCAATGGGATGCATTACTAATCGCTATTTTAGTAAACAAATTTGACAGTAAGACTAGAAGGGAGTGGGAAGCTCATGAAATTGCTGGGTATTTTCCGGTTTGGTCAGAACTTAACCTCTTTCTAAAAAATAAATGTTCTTTGCTTGAAAAATTAGAATTGACAAAATCAAAAAGTACGACAAATAAACAAACAATAAACAAGACTGAGTTTAAAGACTTTAAACAAAATCGACAACGTGGCTCGTTTGCAAATACAAATACTAATAGAAACACAAAATTCTCGTGTTATTATTGCAAGGCAGATCACTTAATTTTTGAATGCGATAAATTTAAAAAATTATCGGTCGATAAAAGAAATAGTGAGACAAAAAAGTTAAAACTATGTATAAATTGTTTTAATCCAAATCACAGTGTTCAAAATTGTACAAAATCCTCATGCAGAGTGTGCAATTCAAAGCATAACTCTTTATTACATCGCGACTTAAATCAATCTACGGACGGCCAAGACCGGGGTAAGCCTGACGCGGACCGCGAGAAAAAGGGCGAGCAAACCGTTGCATCAGCGGCGACCAGTTGTATGATGACGGCGGCCGGCACCGCGAACGATTCGGTAAATGATAGCGAGACAAAACCACAGGCATGTTCAAATTTAAATAGACAGAAAAATTATCCCTTGCTGTCTACGGCTTTAGTAAATATTATCGGCGCGAATAATAAATTACATATAGCTAGAATATTAATTGATCCAGGTTCACAAAGTAATTTTATTTCGCAAGAATTTTCGAATAAAATAGGCGCACAATTAAAACTGACAAATTTTGCAGTTTCGGGAGTTGGTGACATCCAAAATCTGGAGATTAAGTACGAGACAAGTTTTACAATACATTCTAGAATAAATGATTATAGCAGGGAAATATCGTGTTTGGTCTTAAATAAGGTAACAACACCTATTCCTTTGTTTTCCTTTAGTTCAAAGCTAGTTAATATACCCAAAGGCATACCGTTGGCAGATCCCAGTTATAATAAATCGGGAAACAGACATTCTATTAGGAGTCGAAGTTTTTTATGACATTTTGTTAATGGAACAAATTAAGATGGAAAACTACCCGACTTTACAAAAAACAAAATTAGGTTGGTTGTTGGGCGGCGAACTAACATATCCCAGCTGCAATAATAGGCATCTATACCTTTTCAACTTCAAATTGAGACTTGTCAATTTCAAATTAAAACTAATCACATTCAGATTGGGATCAAACATATTCAAAATAAGAATAAACAAATTCAAAATTAAAATAGTCACTCTCAAAATAAGAATAAACATATTCAAATTGGAACTAAATAATCAAAATCAAAATAAGAATAAACATGTGCATTCAATTTGAAACCAAACAACGTCAAATTGAGACTTGTCAATTTCAAATTGATAAAAAGTATTAAAATTAGGAAAATGTATTTAAAAAATATTAATTTATTTATAATAAAGTTCTACACATTCATATCAATTAAATTTAACGCATCAGGGATAAACCTTTGTACGTGGGCAACAAATCTGGCACAATTATTAATATTTATAATGTTAATGTTCTCAGTTATAATATGTTCTAACTGTTGAAGGCGAAACTCACTTTGAGTCATATTTGCCCTGCCTTCACCAGCCAAAATATGTTGAAGTTGCTCAGCCAGGTCCCGCTTAACTGCTGCTTTAAAACTCGACCAGGCAAGCTCAATGGGATTAAACATTGGACTGTAAGGAGCGAGCCTCAGTAAATTATGATTCACAAATTCCTCCTCTGTAAAAACTTTTTCAATAGCTGCATGACAAGGAGCATTGTCTACTACCAGCAGCACATTGGTTTCGTATATGTTTTGAGCAGCACGCAGACACTGACGTACAAACTCATTGGCTTCTTCTCTTCTAAAGGCACCTCTTCTTGTTTCGTGGTGAATCAGGCCCATTATTCCCATGCAGCTTATTAGATGGATATTGGCCCCACGGCAGCCTGCTGAAATATAGCTACACCGAGTACCTTTTTTAGAACGCCCTTGTCTACGCGAAATAAATAAATTAAAATTCGTTTCGTCCATGTATAAAATTGGGATGTTGTCTTCTTGGTAATTCAAAAGTTGTTCCTGGCGTTTCCTTTTATTTTCTTCACTGTTGGTTCGTTCGGGCTCCCTGCGAATATCTTTTAAAGTAAACATTAAGCCATCCAAATGCTTTCTTAAACATTCAGTTGAAACAGTGATTTGATGGTTTACGTCAAATTTTATTTTTAGTTCATTTAATGTTAGCCTTGGATTTTCCTCTACGTACTGAATAATAAAATTATGATGTTCTTCAGAAATCTTGACTCTCCTTCTTCCACCACGTGGTCTCTCGTTTTCCTGGTTCTTTACCCATCGATATGCTGTTGATTTCTTCACACCAAGAGTCCTCTCCAGTCGCCATTATTATTATAAACTGCACAAATTTGTTTACGGATATGTTTCGCTTCTTTTTCCTTAATATATGGCATATTAAATATACTTTTGTCTCGACTTTTGGTTGTTTGCTTATTATAACCAGTTTGACACCAATTACTAATTAGCCTGTCAACTTGTTTACAAACCCTAGGTTA